ATAAGCTGGACCTATATTATAATGAAAAGTGACTATAAAACACGTTCACACCAACAATATGTTTGATACTTTTCACTATACACTTTGTAATACATTATTATTTGCTTTCATTTATAAGCGTTTAGGATTACTGTTAGAGTTCAGTTTGGCTATTTCTGGTGTGAATAATCTTCGGTTCCATAACAAACCACGTTTTGATCGTCATTTTGTTTATGAAAGAATAAACGTAATAAGACATAAGCTTTGTATTTTCGCATAAAATATTTCGTTTCTTCAAAATATTTCATCTGTGGACTAAAGAACATTGGTTTAAAGCGTTTAACAGTGAATTAACTTGGTGTCATTACAGATTGTTGGAGACAATAACGCGCTTGTATGGGAGATTGTGAGACCCATGGTGAAAGAGTTAGGGCTAACTAAGCCAAAAGTGCGGATGTCGAACACAGGGGCGCCAGTGAACGAAGCAGCTAAAGCAATACACTTAGATGATGAAGAAATAGTTTTGGAAGACGGATTTATCCAAAAAGACATCCGTGCGGGTAAGTTGGAACTTGACGGATGACGACAAGTTCAAATATTGTTAATCTAACTGTATTCAGTTCCTCTATGTAGCATACTTCCATCTATATACAGCTGCTACAGTAGCTACCAGTACACGGTATCTCCATTTAGTGTACTTTCATCTATACACAACTGCTACAGTAGTAGCCAGTTATACGCAGCACCTCCTTATAATATACTTTCATCTATACACAGCTGCTACAGTAGTAGCCAGTTATACGAAGCACCTCGTTATACTATACTTTCATTTATACACAGCTGCTACAGTAGTAGCCAGCTATACGCAGCACCTCCTTATATTATACTTTAATCTATACACAGCTGCCACAGTAGTAGCGAGTTATACGCAGCACCTCCTTATATTATACTTTAATCTATACACAGCTGCTACAGTAGTAGCCAGTTATACGCAGCACCTCCTTATAATATGCTTTCATCTATACACAGCTGCTACAGAATTATCCACCTATATGCAGCACCTCCTTATATTATACTTTAATCTATACACAGCTGCCACAGTAGTAGCGAGTTATACGCAGCACCTCGTTATATTATACTTTCATCTTTAAACAGGTGCTACAGTAGTAGCCAGCTATACGCAGCACCTCCTTATACTATGCTTTCATCTATACACAGCTGCTACAGAATTATCCAGCTATATGCAGCACCTCCATACAGCAGGACCTCTAGCTAGTATTCATCTAACCATAGCCGATCTTATTTATGAATTACCGGCACTTGTGTAATGTTTAAAATTATAATAAATAACTAAAAACAACGTTTCTTATTTACAAAATTTAAAACTTTGTTGAAGCCGTACGGCTTCCACTTTAAAATGTACAAAACTAAATAGAGACAAAGGACAAAAAAGTTAATATGTGGCGAGATATTTTATAACTAATTAGAGACGAAGGACAAGCAAGTCAATATGTAGCAAGATATTTTATAACTAAAATAACTACAAAAAGTAGACCAAAGAAATATGTAAATTGTTTGTTTGTTATAGATTTCACGCAAAGCTACACGAGGGCTATCTGCGCTAGCCGTCCCTAATTTAGCAGTGTAAGACTAGAGGGAAGGCAGCTAGTCATCACCACCCACCGCAAACTCTTGGGCTACACTTTTACCAACGAATAGTGGGATTGATAGTCACATAATAACGCCCCCACGGCTGAAAGGGCGAGCATGTTTGGTGGGACGGGGATTCGAACCTGCGACCCTCAGTAATGATATGATTGTTAAAATTACATGATATATCTTCTGTGATATATTTACGCATTTTCTGATCATTGCGTTTTATTATGACTTATGTTATATGCGTTTAATTACTTAATTAGTACAAACTACAAATTTTAGTACAAACTAATGACTTTTCTACACGTATGAAAAAATCTTGTATCTATGGGTCTACTCTTGTACCAAAGGAAATATGTGAAGCAAGGGGTAAAAGTATAAAGTGTGTCTTGTAAGTCCTGAAGATGACGTAGATCACGTCGGCACTTGTACATGTAGAGTGTCATTTTAAAGTGGAAGCAGTACGGCTTCAATAAAGTTTTAAATTGTGTAAATAAGAAACGTTGCTTTTGATTATTCATTATTATTTTATACCAGATCTTTCGATTCATCTCATCAGTTCTTTGAGGTGTGTACATTAGGGAGCGACTTTAATCTACAACAATAAATCAATAAATATTTAATTTTGTATAGTTGCTTCTACCAATACACGTCTGCTACAGTGGTTAAATATAAGCAGGATCTCTAGGTAGTTTAAGGTCACTTGCTTACGTCCACAAATGAACGTTTTTCCAAGTATCGAAGCAAGTCATGTGAACAATTGGGAAACCTTCAAAGAAAGATTTCCCATTTTTTTCTTTGAAATTACATCTTACTTACTAGGTGTAAAAGGCGGAATTTTGTTTTAATTCTTAAAAATAATTATTTTAACAAGTATATTCGATTTGGTTTGTTTTGAATATCGCGCAAAGCTATACGAGGGCTATCTGCGCTAGCCATCCCTAATTTAGCAGTGAAAGACTTAGGGAAGGCAGTTAGTCAACACCATGCACCGCCAACTCTTTGGCTACTCTTTTACCAACGAATAGTGGGATTGATCGTACATTATAACGCCCCCACGGCTGAAAGTGCGAGCATGTTTGGTGGGACGAGAATTCGAACCCGCTACCCTCAAATTGTGAGTCAAGCGTCCTAACCACCTGTCTGTGCTGGGCCAAATCCTTCGGTTATAGCCCGATATTTGGAAGGGCCATAGTTCCGAAGGACCGATATTCCGAAAATTGAAAGCAAAATTAATTACACGTGTAAGCCATATGTCCACACAGGTTGTTATATTATATAAACAGTAGTATGTGTATAATGTTATATTAGGGACATAAGCCGATACCTTTTTTGAGGTATATTTGTAATAATTCCAGATACCTAGGTTATTGTTACTCGAAATTAAAACTTTCTAATATTTTGAAAAATTTTATGCAATTCACATAACAATAATATTATCATTATTACAGAAACAGAATAAAAAAAATGAGAAAAAATAAGAAGCATAAGCAAATTCCAGTCCTAGTGTAGGAAAATGTTCGGATTATCGGTCTGTGTCTTGATAAATGATATATTTATACACAATCTTACAGCTTCACAAAATATATTTTTGTACAAAGAATGTTTTGGTTTATAATTGTAGAGCTTAAGAAAGGATCTATTTATACACATAATTGTAGAGCTTAACAAAGGATATCTATCTATATATATAATTAATTGTAGAGATTAATAAATGATATATTTATACATATAATTGTAGAGATTAACAAAGGATATATTTATACATATAATTGTAGAGGTTAATAAAGGATATATTTATACACATAATTGTAGAGCTTAACAAAGATATATTTATACAGATAACTGTAGAGCCTCTACAGTTATCTGTATAAATATATCCTTTGTTAATCTCTACAGTTATCTGTATAAATATATCCTTTGTTAAGCTCTACAGTTATCTGTATAAATATATCCTTTGTTAATATAAATATATCCTTTGTTAAGCTCTACAGTTATCTGTATAAATATATCCTTTGTTAAGTTTGTAGAGTTGACATACTTCAAGTAAACGTACGGTGACTAGCTATGATTAAATGTCAGATTTATCATAATACTTTTAATCATTAATGTGTGTTATCCCTCTGATGTGCTACAATGCTAAAATCCGGAGTTTGATTCTCTGTAATGAAGAGAAAATAACAGCCTGTTTTGTGTGGTTCTGTGTTAAAAAACAAAAACAATCCTCTGAGATGCAGGTGACCTTGTGACGTCAGAGCTGTCATAGAACGAAACAGTCCAAGGTATGGAGAATTTCCTTATATGTGATTATAACGTATTTGTTGAAACAGGTCAACAGCGTGTTTTTATAGTTCACTAGTTGATGTACCCGTTCAACGCACGTGGAAGACATAAGGGCATCTGAAGGGTGACAGAGGGGAGTCATATCCAAATGTCTATTCCCTGTGCCACACCCCGGGGTCCCCAAGGTTACATGTCCGTTTTGGTGACAATCGCTCCAGCGGTTCACCAGTTATAATGGACATACACACACACACACACACACAGATTGTTTGTCAAATAACAGTTTATATTAAATGTAACTTTAATCGAAATGAGGATAAAAGTAAACATTATATTAACGTTTAAGCGGGACAATTTTACCATTATCATTACAAATATTTTCAGTTTCATAAAAGAGAATATTATTCCATTGCAGAAACATAAGATTGAATGCCTAATAATTTCTTTCCTTAGCCTAATAACTTTAAAACCTACATAAGGAAGAACTGGAGTAACGGGACATTGTGCCACATTTTGTGATTTACGGGGGTGGGAGCGGTATTATGTTCTTGGAAGTGCTGATAAATCACATATTCACTTATTTCATCAACCCCTGAGAAACAGAGTGAATTATTTTTTAAATTGTAGCATGAAAGAAACAGAAAAAATGAGATATTTTGGGTGCCGAATAAATCCGAATATGAAACAACTTATTAAAATAAATACGAAATCTTAGACTTTAGTTTTTTTCCTGATGCGAGATATAAAATACATACACAAACGAGAATAAATACCAGTGATAACAAAGATTGAACGTTCGTAAAATTTTTGATCGATTTTGTAGACCCATAGATACAAGATTTGTTCAGACGTGTAGAAAAGATTAAAATACGATATCGAAAATTATTCAGACCACTAGCAGGTGCTTGATTCAAAAATAATTCAAATCATTAGTTTGTACTAAAATTGCGTAATTAAGTAATTAAACGCATATAACATAAGTCATAATAAAACGCAATGATCAGAAAATGCGTACATATATCACATAAGATATATCATGTAATTTTAACAATCATATCATTACTGAGGGTCGCAGGTTCGAATCCCCGTCCCACCAAACACGCTCGTCCTTTCAGCCGTGGGGGCGTTATTATGTGACTGTCAATCCCACTATTCGTTGGGAAAAGAGTAGCCCAAGAGTTTGCGGTGGGTGGTGATGACTAGCTGTCTTCCCTCTAGTCTTTCATTGCTAAATTAGGGATGGCTAGCGCAGATAGCCCTCGTGTAGCTTTGCGCGAAATTCAAACCAAACCAAAACCATAGAATTACTTTGATTTGTTAGTGTTATAAAAATATCACTGTAATCTGTTTTTTTTTCTTCCTCGAAATGATTATCCATTTTGGTCTTTCGTTTCTGAAACTTGTTATTCTTCCATTACCTTCGTTGTTACTTAACTTTTATCTGTTGAATTAACTCTATTACTATTTCAAATGATTTGGATTCTTACAAGGGTAAGGATTTCTTTGCAGATTACATAAATGTGATGCTTAAATGTCTGGAAAGAAGCGCAGTAACTATGGTCGCTTTCCTTTAATAACGTAACAAAGATTTGAGTTATTGGATATTCAGCATCTAAAGGTAGAACGGGCCAATTAGTGAGCTTCAATTTTATAAGGACTTCAAAAGATCAGATAATCATCCCAATTTTTAAGTTATCATAAACCAGGAGAGTCATAGTTTGAAAAATGATAATTAAAACTTCAAATATAACTAGATTTTTATTATTTTTTAATATACGTATGTTTCCCTTACAGCGAGTGATGGTACTTTCAGCCTGGTGGAGGATTTACTGCTGAGCGAACAAGATTATTACAAGACCCTAAAAAGTGTTTGTGACGTCTATGCGAAGCCATTGCGGTATGTTTTCGAATGAGTCAAACAACATTAAGTAGAATCGTTATTCACACACACACATACATACATATATATATATATATATATATGTGTGTTTTATTTCACCGTAGGGTAATTTGTGAGAGTGAAAAATCGTATTTCAAGAAAGAATTCTGAAAATATCGGAGAAAAGAACCTCTAAGCTATTGAAAGTCTATTACTTATGAAAACAGTATTGGGACAAATGCTATCGTTCAAAAACATAAGTTTATTGGTATTCAAATTACGTACAAAAATAAATCGAGATAAAAGTACCATACGTACTATGGAGAAAAAAGTACCATACGTACTATGGTGAGTATATTAGTGATAAACCGTTTGGTTTCATCACTGACCTAATAATAGTAAAATACAAGAAAAATGAAATGCGTGTATGTATGTATGTATATATATATATATATATATATATATAATTTCATAAATATGTTTGTACACTGTTCTTTCATTAATAGCGCTCCTAAGTAATTATTATATTGATATTTTAAATCAATCCAAACTGTGTTTGTATGAGAATTGTATAAAGTGATTTATGTTAAGGTATTTGTTCAAAGTGATACATTTTATATTACGGAATCCGTGTCTGAACCAGAATCGATATGTCAGGGGACATATTACTATTATGTTCACTGAACCAGAATCGATATGTCAGGGGACATATTACTATTATGTTCACCACCTGGCTTTCTCTCGATACACTAGTCACTGAACATAATAGTAATATGTCCCCTGACATATCGATTCTGGTTCAGCGTCACAAGCAGTGTTAAAGTTCAAGACCACCAGAATATCACATAGATTACACATGAATATTACACAGAGTATATGAGAATATCATATAGAGCACATGTGAGTATTATATAGAGTACAGAGTACACGCAAGATGATAGAGAACCTGTTAATATTATAGAGCACGCATTGTATAGAGTACATGTTACTAATGTATATTGTACGAAAGGATTTGGTATACTGTACGTATATATGAAGGTCATACTGAGGACGGTACGGAATATGATCAAGGAGGAAAGTCTATCAAAATCAAGGATTTTTAGTGGTATCGCGATTAGACTCCTACAGAAAATAGTGAGTGGATTGTATAGAGTCACCCAAACTTGGAGATAAAATAGAATAATCCAAACCTTCCAAAACTATCATTCAAGATAAACATCAAAGCGGATAGGAGATTAAAATGAACGTTTTCCCAAAAATAGTGGGTGGATTGTATAGAGTCACCCAACGTGGAGATAAAATAGAATAATCCAAACCTTCCAAAACTATCATTCAAGATAGACAACAAAGCGGATAGGAGATTAAAATGACGTTTTCCCAAAAATAGTGGGTGGACAATGTCTACCAGCACCTAGCCTCGAGTCTGACACTCAGTGGTATTACGTAAACCGTAGGTATTCAAATAAACGGTAGATTTTGAGATTTGTAATTGTCGATGTCACTGAATACATGGGTTACTATATTGTTTCATTTTCTAAGAAGTACAGGTTTGGAGTATTTAACACGTCTTACATTTTTAATATCTCATATGAAGGCCATTGAAGTTTAACACTATTTAAAACTTGTATATTTAGCAGAATGTAGTAGTTTTATGAGATAAGCCTAACTATATATATACTGCAAAACTTTCACATTGGTGTTTATATATAAACATATTTTATATAATTTTACAGGAAATTGTTATGTCTTGGACCTGATGAGCATAAAGCGTTGTTTGATTGGGTGGACCCACTTTGCTCGTTAAGCAATCTGGTAATAAACAAAGTGAGTTCAATTTCATAACTATTATTAAAAAACAGTATACATTAATACAGAAACGAGTAGGTACGTTTTTATTCTCAGGAACTAAGTCTTAATTGCAAAATCTAAGCGTGTTTTTTATATCACATTCGAGTTATTTTTTAGCTATAAAAAGTCCCACAAGTTCAGGTTTTTCTTAGTTGGTAACAACGCTGTTTTTCCACACGAAAGATATAATTTCATTTATTTTTCTCATTTGTCAAATAACCGATGGTTTGGCTTATAATATTTGTTTACCGAATTCTTTGATCACATTTTAACTGGAAAAAATCGCTCGATCCTAAAAAACATTCAAACAACGCTTCTCGAATGTGTAGCAAAGAACAGTTAAAAAAACACAATTCTTTAATGCACGTAATGTTTTCTTTTATTGGCTGATATTTATCTAGTTTGTGAATAATACTTTATTTGATTGGTTAATATGTTGATATCTTATGCTTGTATTCTTATTTGTTAATATTTTTTCTAACTTGTGTATAATAGTTTAATTTAATTGGTCATTATGTTTTTAACTTGCGCATAATGTTGTAGTTTATTGGTCGAAATATTTTTCTGAAACTTTTAAAAAGTCAGAATGGTAATTTTCAAAATACCTTTGTTTGAAATACAAAATTGTTTAACAAGTCTTATTAGTATTTCAACGCATCGAAGTGAAAAATATATCGAACTTACTATGATTAAAACGTACATTTCTCATTAAGAATACACTGAGGATAAAACTGATATAAACTCAACTACTGGCCCCTAATGAATATAGATATACATATGCATTTTTTTCCAAAAAGAATAATAAAGTCATTTTCATATCACAATATTAGTTGTTACGAACATGCATTAATCCATAAACAAAAATTCATTCTAAAATTCTAAATTACACTTTTTCTTCGATATGTAAATTACTCGCTAAAGAAAACTCGATTTTAGATATCCAGGTATGTAAAGGACTAAGTTATAAGTCGTGCTACAAATATTTGTGTGTTAATATTAGGCTTAAGTATTTAATTAGCAATTATAATTAAGTTATAAATAAGCCTAATTACTTGTCAAGATTACACAGTTTTGTATGTTGTAATTAGGCCTAATTATTCACCAGAACTATGCAGCTTGATAAGAGAGCTTACGAAATGGCTTTCTATTAAATTAATATTCTAACAAATATCTAAAGTGTGCTATTGTGTCAGAATTTTCGTTGTTTTATTTGTTTCAGGTCGTTTATTTTGTTAAGTGTTATTTGTGTTGAGAATTGACATACTTTGGCACCAGTGCGTTGATGCAGAACCTTCCCACCCACTTCGTATTTCTGCTGCGTCAATGAACAATTAAAGTTATTACTAACTTATTCAATAGAGGAATACATTTTATAACACGGGCTAATTTATTTTACGAACTTAAAAATTAGAATCTTGACAGACAGCATATTCTCAAGTTTATTTATGGATGTGATAATAAAACAGCTTTGTTGTTGTAATTTGTTTTTAAAATTGACCATGTAAGTCTCACAAACATACTAGGACTTATATAGCAAAATATCAAAGCTCAAATTCTTAAACACACACACACACACACAATAAAAACCAGGTATTCTTTTCAGCACAGTTGTAAATTTCTTGAAAGCCGATCTGTGACAACATTATAAAGCTCAGGTTACAGGGTACTCGCCAGCACAGTTATAAATTTCTTGAAAGCAGATCTGTGACAACACTAGAAAGCTTAGGTTACAGGGTACTCGCCAGCACAGTTATAAATTTCTTGAAAGCCGATTTGTAGCAACATTAGAAAGCTTAGGTTACAGGGTACTCGCCAGCACAGTTATAAAAATCTTGGAAGCTGCTCTGTGTGGCAACATTAGAAAGCTTAGGTTACAGGGTACTCGCCAGCACAGTTATAAATATCTTGAAAGCCGATCTGTAGCAACATTAGAAAGCTCAGGTTACAGGGTACTCGCCAGCACAGTTATAAATATCTTGAAAGCCGATCTGTAGCAACATTATAAAGTTCAGGTTACAAGGTACTCGCCGGGTCAGTTATAAATATCTTGGAAGCTGTTCTGTGTGGCAACATTACAAAGTTCAGATTACAGGGCACTCGCCAGCACAACTAAAAATATATTAAAATAGCAAACTATTTTACAACTGTGTAAAATAAGTCATTCTAATACGTCATCGGTTTACTTTCAGAAATAACATATTTGAATGTACGCATGTATTTATAATTTTATCGACTCTAATCATTTTCTGAAGTATAAATTCAGATGTATACATTGTATGACATGAAACGTTAGGTCAGCTAGAATTACTCAAAACCTTTGACGATAGTCTATTTCTTATGATATAAAGGTTTTACTCTTCATTCTAAAGCCATATAAACAAATTCAAACCTCTTAGTTTCAAACTCCGTTTAATGGTGAACAATAGAACGACGACAGCAACAACGAACATTTGACACGTGTGTATACAATAACAAACATTTAATACCTGAACGTTTCAGAATATACATATTCCGTCTTCAGCAAGCTATATTGAACAGGGTAAATTATTAGGTACAAAACTTTATAAATTTAAACATTTTATAAAGTAATTAAAAATACAGAATAAAAGGATAAAATAAATTAAAAAAACAACCAAATAAACAAAGAATAGGATAATGCAACAATATTATACAAGTATTCAGAACAATTTATAATAGATAAACTTTCTTTAATTAAAAGCTCAATATTGGATGACTTTGAAATTCGTAATGAAGACGGGGTGGTTAGTGTTTTCACTATTTGTGCGAATTGTGGAGTCTGAATCATCCGGTATTGAACATTTAATTAAAAAGTTTATCTATTATAGAAGAACTCCCTACTTTAAATAATAACACAACTTCACTACAGTTAAGTTTGAATACTTGTATAATATTGTTTCATTATCCCATTCTTTGTTTATTTGTTTGTATTTTAATTTATTTCATCCTTTTAATCTGTATTTTAATTACTTTATAAAATATTTAAATTTATAAATTTTTGTTACCTGATAATTTATTTACCGTGTTCTATGAAACTACGATTAGAAATGAAATTATAATAATACAAATAATATGAATACACTTTTTAGTTCCGTTGGAAATTTTTACTAACAAACCAAAATGTTTAAATTTATTTTAAAACCAAATAAACGCAGCACATATTATGATTGTTACACATGGTAGGTTTATAGCAGCTACCAT